GAAAAGATCTCATATAGTTCATTTTTTCTCCTGAAAAATCCTTTCAATTGTCCCAAAATCCAAGACATGTTCTCTGATCTCAACAGGTGAGGCAGATAGACTATGATCCATTCAGACTCAAGAGTTAGCTCTCATGCTCACACAAGGACATACAGTCATTGAGTGCAACGGTGAAGAAATAAACCGTACCCTTTCCATTTTTCTCTCTCTGCTAAGATCAGAGATATGATTTAATGCAAATATAATGTACTCCATTGTACTTGCTTTTTTCCAAAGCGCCCTAAATGATATTGTTTCCCACTGCCATCTACTTGTGATGCTATTTCTGGATGCAGAATATCTTCCTTTTCTGTCTGCCCGTATCTAGACGCCACCTTCTTGGGAAGTCATTTATGACTAATACTATCTCCATGGTTAACTCCCCAAACCTGGCATCAGCGTGCATTTCTCCTTCAGAGAACTCGGCCCATTTAAGGACCTGAGCACTAACTAACCACTGTACGGCGTACACTAGACCTGCTACGTCAGTCATTTATGTGTTATTTTTAGTAGACTAAATACTTCCTGGTAGCAGAATTTCATGCTTTGCCACTTTTTGTATTCTCAGATACTAATACAGTGGCTGGTACACGACCTCTTCCACTCTCATCAAGCTGTAACTGACTCATAGCTGACCCTCCACTGATTGGGTTTCCAAGGCTATAAACCACATGGGAGGAGACTGCCAGCCTTTTTCCCCACTGGAACCATGAGTGGTGGATTCCTACTGCCAAACTCAGCTTTTGGGCTGGCAATGCAATTTCCTACAGACTCCACCACCAGAGCTCTCTTTGATACATATTAGGCCCTGAAGGCATGGATACTTATAAGAATTAAACCTAATTAACAGCAACAAGATAACACCTTATTGGCACCTATCAGAAGAAAAGCATTTCTATGACTCCCACGTCAGGGCTCCCATGCTTTCTGGCAAATAACATGGTTAGAGTAGATGAACTGGGACCTAAAAACGTTTGAAAAACAAAACAAATAAACACCCCCCCCCAGCTGTGGGGAATCCCCTAGTCACCATAGGAAAGGAGAGTGATCTGAAAGAAACCATTTCCTGCCTCACCCCACCACCTAGTTTCTCATGAGAGCACAGAGAGAGGAAGAAGGAGGAGGAAAAAGAATAAGAAAAATAGCCAAGTGAGGATAAACCATCCGGTTCTGTCGAGATTCTTAATAATTTTCCTAGTTAAACCTCGAAGACTGTTTCTGTTTCACAGGCTGTCCCTGGTGGAAGGTAGACAATGTGGGGATGGGTTTTCTGATGCCAAAGGCCCAGCTGATAGGCCATAATAACACTTCAGGACTGTATTCAGGAATCTAGATTTCATGAGAGCCCATATTAAAATAGGAAGGAATATCTGTAACAATGCACACCCTCCGGTTTCCTAGGCATCACCTTTTCTGCATTCCCTGATCTTTCACACATGGCAAGGCCCCTCCCTACCAGCAAATCACAAAGAGAGTGCGGCGAAGTCCAGAGTGAGAGAAGGGTCCTTGGCTGAAACCACAGCACCCAGCTGGCCGCAGTGAGGCCGGGCAGAGTATTTTACAAGCACTTGGAAAGTGGCAGCTTAACTATTTATCACTGTGCTCTAGCCAAGGAGATAGTTACCAAATGGGCAATCTCCTCCTGTGTGATTTACTGCCTCTGAAAGTCCACTGAAGGGTCAACTCCTCGTTGGTTCCTACTTGGATGGTAAACAACTACCACCACCTTCTAAACCTTTTTCCTCCAGTCTCTGATTCCGGGTCCAGGCTCTCTGGGGGGAAGGAGCAGGCATGTACATAATCCAACAAATCCTTTCCAAGTCAATGCCTACTCTGAATCCACTTTGGCCACTTCCCAAACCTGACTTACTGTAATACTTCCTGCCAGTTCATGGATTAGGTGCTATGATGCCCACTTCACTCTGGTGGTTTATGGTAAGGAGTTACATTGTCAATCCAAAGGGGCATACAGTTCAAATCCACTAGCTAGCTGTTCAGTGGGAGAAAGATGGGCAATCTCCTCCAGTGCAAGTTAATGCCTCTGAAAACCCACTGGAGCGTCAATTTTGGGTCAGTTCTGACTCGATGGTACACAACATGCTTATGTTATAGATGGGAAAATGGAGATTTCAAGAATTGGAATAAATGGCTTAATTATTAAACAAAGTCCATGTCTGCCATGCCAAACTCCTTTCTCTCCCAGAGAAATGCTCAGATGAGGACACAGAGGCCCAAGTATGGGTATGGAGTTACTGAAGGACACAGAGAAAACTAGACCAGGAACTCGCTTTCCTCCTAATTTCCACACTATTTCCTGCATTTAACGGCCTGATCTCTTCAGGATGGGACTCCCAGGCCCTTACATATCCTGGTCTCCTACGTGTCTATTAATTTCCACGTAACGAGTAACAGAGAAAGATGCAAGCCTCTGGGCTTTTCTCTTAAGCCACAGCTCTCGTACCTGTACTGGTCTCCTTCCTGTTCCAGATTATGCTTGAAATCATCTATCAGTTACCCCTTCTAAAAGACAAGCCTGGCCTTGACACCCCCCTGCTCAGAATCTTCTGTGGACCCCATCACTCTCTGGGTGACTAAACCACCATTTTCTCCCATCATTCTATTTTCTAGCCATTTCTTTCCTGCCACTCATAACAGACTGTCATACTTTCAACAGTTTATCAAATTGTTATTTATGCCTGGAATTCTCACCCCTTCCATTTCAGTGGGTGACATTCTATATATTATCTCTCTGAGAAGACCACCCCCTACCGCGTTCTCTCAAGCGTTTTGCACACACTCACTCCCACAGCTCCACCACTGCACCCAACGCCTTTTATTATGTGTTAGTTTGCATGTTCTCCGTCTCCTCAGAGGATCATCTCTGAAACCCCAGTTGGAAGGAGCACAGTGTCTAGAATAGAAACATCTTTTGACTGACTGGACTCAACACCCACTTCCATAGAGACGTGGCAATGTACTGATTTTATTTGCAGAAAGCTAAAGCAGGTTCTACTTTATTTTTTTTTTAATTAATCAGACTTTATACAATCTAGTTGAGTATTAAAGTGTTCTAGGAAGAATGGCCTTCAAGTCTCTGGCAGCTTCAGTCAAAAGAAGAGTTCCTCACAGAGGACCAAATTCCAGGAGGAAGTCAGCTTCTACTTGGAACACTGAAAACAGGCTAGTACTGATTCTTAACCACAGCACAAACCACTTTTCTTTCCTTTGGTTCCATGTAAACCATCACATCATGAACCAGCCTAGCTCTTAAGGCATTTAGGCCCATTATTTCCTGAATAACAGGACATGTCTAAAGAAGGTGTGTGTAAACAATACTTGGGTAAATCAATGCACAGTTTTACACATCAGAAAGGACATGTCTGTATTTATAGGATGCAGCTGGTTCTTTGTGAAATTCACCATCTGCCAGAAAAATATGTTTTCTACAAACAAGGGTATATCAAATCTGAACCTTATTCTTGGTTCAATAGTCTAACCTGAGTGTAGGTCTGATGGAAAGGATGTGGCTGAACCCCAGGTCTGGCTGGTTGCCTCTGGGCCTCTGGCCCATCATTTCTTGGTTAGAGACCAATCAGACTTTAAAATGTGGGTCTCCCCAGGAGATTCTGAAGGGGTGAAGGGGCAGAGGGATCTGGGGTCTTAAAAGTAACTGTTGTGCAGTCGACTCTGATCCCACGTGCTTCAGAGAGCGGAGCGCTGTAGGGTTTTCAGTGGCTGATTTTTCCAGTAGCTTTCTAAACCTTTCTTCTGAGGTACCTTTGGGTGAACCTGAACACGCAAGCATTCTTAGCAGCTGGGCATGTTAACAATTTGTATCACGCAGGGACTCTATGACAGCCACAACCAAAACAAAATACCCAAACCACTGCCATCAAGCTGATTCGGATTCAAAACAACCCTGCAGGACGGAGCAGAATGCTGGTTCCCAACCGTATAAAGCCCTAAGGACACAGAAAGGCTTCATCTCTCTCCTGCAGAATGACTGGGGGATCTGAACTGCTGAACCTGGACTTAGCAGCCCAGTATCAAAATTACTGCCTTGCTAGGCCTCTGATGACAGCCATCAGCTCTATCAATGGCCATGAAGCTGGAACCAACTCCATTGAGTTTCTGGGGCTGTTTGTCTCACAGGATGAGGTTGTCCATCTTTCTCCCAAGGTACCGTTGGTGGATTTGAACCACCGGAGAGACTTAGTCTTCGGTGAGGCAGAGTAGCTCTCTAAGGACTATGCCACCAGGGTTTCCTGTGGCAGAAAGTATTCCCTCTATTCTCTCCAATGCTTCCTTCCCTCTCCCCCAAACTCCTCCCACTTCAGACTTGGGATCTTCCCTATTCCAAAAATTGGGAAGGGAGAACATCTAAGAAGAGAGAGCCCATTCATTCACTGTTTAAAAAGAAAAACTCTTGGCTCTTTTAAATCTTGTTGAGCTGAACGTTTTTACAGGTATAGCCGATTTCCCTCCATTTTCAGTTAATCAAGCTTATTAGAATAGGTAGTATTTTCAATGTGTGTGGTTCTTTGACTTTTCTTTGGGTCACTAGGCAAGGATGGTGGAGGGGTGAGGGGGTCCCCTCCACTCTGCATCAAAGGAGCAGGTTGCTTAGGAAAATCTTCCTTTGAACCCCTCTGTAAAAAGAACCCATGATGCAGACAGATTAACCTTGAACATTGCTCCTGTGAAAACTGTGATTTTCAGATACTGCCTTTGCTCATAATGAGAACTCAATGGAGAAGGCGTTCTCTTTCTGACAATTTCAAGACAACCACTTGCACGTGTGTTTCCTTTGTCTAGGTTAAACTTAAAAACAGAAAAGAGGCAGTCATTTCCCCAGTTCCCTCGTATGTGTGATGGCCAAGGCCAATCTAATTTAATATAGAAAGGAGAGAAAGAGGGCCTGGTGGCTTCGCTGCTCAGGGTGACCGTAGGGCGGTGCTTACCTGTGATCATGCTCAGTGCTGACAGGCATGCTAAGGCTTGGATGTCAAGGTTCAGGCTCTGCAAATGTAAGGAAAAGTCTTTAATGGAGTCGAGCCACTCCCCAAATCCACGAAGGCACTGAAGTCGATGCAGGACAAGTCCATTGCAGAACACGAACTTATCTTCAGCAGTGTTCGACCTGTAAGAGAAAGCCATGGGTGAAGGTTAAAGGCACCTAAGACAAATCTATCCAACATGACAACATTATAAAGCACAGGAAGAGAAACAGCTGCAAGATTGAACAGGGGACCCAGTGTAGAGCTGGGAAACGTGTCCGCACACCAGCAAAGGACAAGACTATGATCCTGGAGATAAGCATCACTACCATCAAAATGTGCTAACTTTCTGAGGGGAAGCTGGAGGTGTGAGGCCTGCTCCCTGACTTGCCTGGAACAAAGCTGGAGGAGAGAGCACTCGGGATTATGGCCCAATGCACCATTTCTCTTGCAACGCACATGAAATCACTCCCATCTGTGTTCCTTCACCAGGACATTCCCCTCATCCCCTTAAATGTCTGAAACTGATCAGGCCTGAGGTTCAACGTTACAATATCATTGAGCAAATTCAAAACCTACCAAGTCTCAGGAAATGTAAGAATACAATCATAAACTAGGAAATGGCCTCAAGTGAACAATAATCTTGATTTTTATTATCATTTCTACTTTTAACAGTGAGGCTTGTGGAGGACTCTTTTCTAGATATTTCCTGAGAATTGATATTATACTTACAATCATCCAATTACCATTTCTCATGAAAGGTACCCTGGATGTCAAGTCAAAAGGTTTTATCATCATAATATGTCCTTCCTAATAGTTCTCAATTCCAGGTGGATATCACCTGTTAGCTGTGTGACTCTGGGTACTCCTTCAATGTCTCTGAGCTTCCTTTCCTTTAGCTCTAAGACAGGAATTGTAACTGCCACTGTCTCAGATTGTAGTTCAGTGGTAGAATTCTTGACCCTCATGGAGGAGACTTGGGTTCAATTCCAAGTCAAAGTACCTGATGCACAGTCAGCATCTGTCTGCCTATCGGGGGAGGCTTGACACTGCTATGATGCTGAAGAGATAAATGTAAGCAGAGCTTTTAGACAAAGATGAACTAGGAATAAAGACCTGGCACTCTACTGCTGAAAATCTGCCAGTAAAAACCCTTTGGATCCCAACAGTCTGATTTGCAATTGATCACAGGGATGGTGCAGGACTGGAAGGCATTCTATTTAACTGTGCATGGGCTTACCATAAACCAGAGACTGACTGAATGGCAGTTAATAGCAACATTCTTGTGAAATGAAATACAATAAAGGATGTGCCTTGTACACATGAGGAACTCAACACCTACAAGAATTAGTTAGAGAGGTCTTTTCTCTTTTTAAGGAGAACGTCTCTCTCTTTGGGGATGTAACTTTCTAATAAATCTATCATTACCCTCAACATTTACCTTCAAAATAAAAAGAATTGGTGAGGTGTAACCAGGGTGCTCCCTACAAGCAAGGATGATGAAACTTTCTCTCACATGTCAGGAGGCACCAGTCCTTAGATAAACACGTTGCTGGAAAGCCGAGGATCACGAGAAGAAAGGAAGACCCTCAACCAGATGGAATTACAGTTACTGCAACAATGGGCTTGAGTACTGTGTGGACGGTGAGGAGGCACAGGATTGGGCAAGGTCTCAAATGCTGTTCACAGGGGCCCTTTGATTTGCAGTTGACTCAATGGCACTTAACTACAACTATTGCTAAATTCTACACGATCCCTATGTTAATCTTGGCTTTCCTTTCATTTTCATATCTTTATCAATCTTATCCTATTGCATGTGCATATGAGTATCTCTTGAGAACTACGCTTCCAAAATGAATAGCTCTGCTCCATCATTCAGTACATGTTGACTGAGTACCAAGTACGTTCCATTCCAAGAGCCAGATGCAGGAGGTATCTGCCTGCATGAAGTTTATAATCTACTTGACCTCTCCTTTATGGCTGATAATCACACTTCAGACTAAGCTGAGGTGTACACTAGCTTTGCTGTGAATGATGTTAATTTCTGGCACTCTGATTATAATCCCACCCCTTTCTCTCCCATAGATCCAATTGCTTCACAGAGAGTACACCCATGGAAGAGTGATTCTATCTCAGATTGTAAAATACAGACTTCGGACTACCATCATCAGAATCTCAGGAGTAGGAATTAAAGAAACTGGGATGAAGAAGGGAGATGCACATTTTAAATGTCTTATTTCTGGAAACGCAGTATGAAATTAGGGAGGAAGTGGTAGAAAGTGAGAAAACAGCATGTGTGGAGGGGAATATATTATGAGGGGAGAAAGAATTATTTTTTCTTCCTACTTTTTGGTGACATGCTGGTCCTAGGTAAAGAAGAAAGGACGCAAAGAAGATAGAACAGAGATGTGGCAATTATGACAGGATCTTACATACCAGGTTTCAGCTTAGAGAACTTACTTCCTCTTCACTTTTGGTCTCACTGAGCTGCACTAGATCTGACCAAGAAGCGATTCCCTCAAAGTAAACACAGGGTTTGGGAAGCTATTGGAGGTAATGGTAATTTTTTTTTTCAAAGCAAAAAAAAAACAAACCCCAAACCAACAAAACCAAAACCTCTGTCCCAGGAAATAACATTATGCACCATGAGAATTTCCCTAGAACCAGGAAATGCTGGAGCTGCACGGGACCTCCAAGATCACCATGTCCAACCTCTTCATTTTCTTGCAAAGAGAGCAAGAGTCTCTCAAGTGAGGTTGAGTGGCTTGCTTAGCTTCATACAGCAAGTCTCATTAGAAGTGGGACCCAAACCCAGGAGTCCTGACTACTAGCTCAGCACCTTTTCCATTACTATTCGATCTGTCAGTGCCTGCCTGCATTACATGTCTGCTTTCTTTCATCGTGCATGGAGTCACAATGACGCAGGAATTGACTGAATGGGAGCTAACGAGAAGGTTGTTGTAAAAATGAAATAAAAGATGTGGCCATCTCCACGCAGTACCTGGGACACAGGAGGAACCAATTCTCATAGAACTTGTTAAGTGTAACTTTGTTAGATTCTATATGGTCCTTATTTTAATCTCAGCTTTCTTCTCTTTTTCCTATCTCTGTATTTCAATGCCTAAACACACTGACCAGGACTCATTTACAAACACAGCAGATTTCAAACTTCCCCACAAACACACAGTGGACTGAAGGAAGACACAAAGAACAGTCATTACCTGATGGAAAGTCTAAGAACAAACAGCTCCAAAAAGGCTGATTCTATAAGTAACGTCTGATCTTCTTTGGGGAGATCAGTGAATCCTGGAATCTTTTCTGCCCAGCTTCTGGATACGTCAATGGAGGCTATCAGAAGGTTGTAGAATTGTTGTACATGCTCAGCATCTGTGCCTGTGGCAGCCTGGTCAGTGGAACAGTACTAGGATACAAACATCAGAAAGCAACAGTATTAGCACCATCTCAGGAGATTACAGTATTCCTTGCAAACTGGCCTTTCCAAGACTGTCAATGTCCACACCCTTACTTCCAGGTCCCACAGTTTATCCAACCTTTTCACATCTGCTGTCTTAGCCAATCTCACAACAGCTTTGGGTTAATCAACAAAACAAATGCAGCAAATTCAATGTTGCAAAACCAACCCCTGCTCCCAGGAAATACTGGCGTCACAAAGGATTTCAGGGACACACAGAACTGTATTGTGTCCACTTGCAAAGAAATTTGCTTAAGTCCCATCTGCACAAGGTTCTTCAACCTTGACGATATGCTGTTATCATCTGGGGAAATTTTAAAAATGCTTGTGTTCTACCCTAAAGAGTCCAATTTGATTGACGTGGGGTGAGCGCACCGGGCACTGGAAATTGTAAAAACCTCCTTATGTGATTCCAAAGGGCAGCTAATGTTGAGAAGCACTGCCTCGGGAATTTGTGGTCTAGGAGGCCTCCAGGGTCTACAGATGGCACTGATTCCTCCACCAAGGGTTCTAAATGAATCCAGTGGTTCTAGAAAAACATGTTCCTGGACCAAGAGCATTAGCAATGCCTGGGAACTTGAGAAACATGAAAACAGGCTCCACTCTATAAACTCTGAGTTGGCTTGGAAAAATCGTTTTATTAGGCCAGCCAGATGAATCTCATGCATCCTAAAGTCTGAGAATCACATTATTCACCAAGGAGGCGGTGGTGGTGTTATATACCATGGAGCAGGAACCAATTCATAGCTGACCCTCCTGCCGGTTTTCAGAGGTAGTAAATTGCATGGAAGGAGACTGTCCATCTTTCTTTCTCCCAAGGATTAGCTGGTAGATTCGAACTGCTTGCCTTAGGCTGGCAGTGAAACTGCTGACCACTAGGCCACCAGAGCTCCTTAACTAATCAACAGAAGGAAATTGGTTTTGCTTGCTGTGAATGGATAAAACAAACTGAGGGGAGGATGTTCTTGGCAGAGTTCAGGAATGTGTGTGCCATCTGACTTGGGATTTGGGACTATTTAAATGAACTGAAATAAGGCCCAGTAATAAATTCCATTCCTCTGTCACACTCGCCATTATTTCTAGTGCCCAACATTTACACGTGCCTGATGTCTACTATACTGTATGACACAAGTACGGAACACTTTACCGCAGAAGGCTCTCTGGGACAGCACTGATCTAAAGGAATGGTAAGAAGGCACACACAGGCACAAAGTCTCTGCTCAGTTTCTGAATATTCTAGTAATATTCAGTTTTGCTCTGAATCACTAGAAGAAGAAAAAATTTCTTCCTTCAAACAGGATGATCAATATAGAAAAATAATACAGGCAGTCACTGGAGTATGAATGAGTTCCACTCCTAAACCGAACTTGTACAGAGGTTTTAACAATTAGGTAGCATTTGTATCTAGTATTAGCCAAATGTTTGTTGGAGTATATAGCATATAACATACACTTCTAAGCATAAAAAGAATTAAAGGAATACTTCCAAACAGTAAAACATGTTTGACATAATAATATAGCAATAATAATGTTTTGATTCTTTGCTGAAACGTACCCCTAGTTTACTATTATTAACCATTTTATTATGTACCTTGAATTTTTAACAAATAAGCTTAACAGGAGTTGGCTTGTAACTATGGGTTTTAGTAAACCTGATGGTGGTAACCTGGCACTGTCTGTAACTAAGATAAAACCCAGGGACATAAAGACGCATAAACATTCATGTAAATCTGCATGCACTTGTGCACTCCTTCTTCCAGAAGATCTACAAGGAGCAGGGATTTTAATCCTTATTTTGCAGAAAAGGAAACTAAGGCTCAGAGAAGCTAAGAGACGTTCCCAAGTTACAAAAGCAATAATAGAGCTAAGACTTACTCATGAAGCCTCTGATTTCAAGCCCTACACCTCCTGGCTGTTACTATGTCTGATGCTCCTAATGCTTTCCCAGGAGACAGTTTTCAAACTCTTTAAGAAGCATTTTCCTTTACTCTAATTGGTGATCTACTGCTAACTCATTGGTCCCAGGTTTCTGCCAACTCCATACTGATTAGCACATAATTGACCTTCAATAAACAGTTGTTAAATATTATTCAATGAAAGAATAGTCAGGGGAGCACCTGGATGTGCCACAATGCCCTGACCTGCCTGGAGGAGGAACTTGCTAACAGCCAGGTCCTTACTGTAGAGTTACTGAAGAGTGAGAAAATGAGGTGTTTGTCTTAACCGGGTGTTTTTCTTTTTGTGTTTTCCCCAGAAGGCATAAAATTAGGAACAGAACTCCGCTACTTTAATTCTAGTTTTGCCCTAGCCCCTAATTTGCTATAAAAGGTAGTTCTGCCACTTCCTTTAGTTATATGGGGCAAGTTACTTCATTAAGCGTCAGTTTTCTCCTCTGTAAAAATGGGGTAATACTACTTTCCTCAAGGTTTCATTGTGATGATGAAATGTGATGACGCATGTGAAGAGCCTAACACATAGAGTGTACTGACATGATGAGGTGATGATGCTGGAAACAGCAGCAGCATCGCTCAGCGTCCATATTTCTAACATGGGGGAGAAGATGAACTGGGAGGTTTCTAATTCTGAGCTCTGGATTTCTAGGAACTTATAGCATCTGGTCCAGTTCAAAGCCTTGGCTCCTCTGTTCTCAAATCTCCCTTAATGCTAGGAGATTCTACACAGGCGTGGCTCTTCTGTGAAATAATGAACCATGGAAGAGTCAGAGAGAAGCAAGATGTATTCACCTCAGAACATGCAGGAGGCTGGCATGATCCGGAGGTTCATAGATACTTGCCAGCATTTCCTCTCAGCACACACACTATTAACTAAAGTGTATATACATATATGTGTGTGTGTGTGTGTACATATATATACGTGTGTATATACATATATATATGTGTGTATATACATATATATATGTGTGTGTGTATATATATAAATATAAATACAATTTTTTACTTTTTTCTCACTTATATAGCACCACTACAATGGATACAGGTGAAGAAGTCCTATGGAGCAATACTCCTCTGTTCTACAGGGTGGAAATAAGTCAGAAGTGATTTGACAGCCACCACGTCTTCTATGGCTCTCATGCCAGAGGGCAAAAGGGAATCTGGGTAAAACTGCTTTGTGGAAGTTAATAGCACCATTCCTGAAATGACCTAGTAACAACAGGGTGGGCCTGGGGGTCCTTGCACTGACTTGCTGTGCAGCCCTAGGCAAGTCATTTAACCACTTTACCTCTCTGGATCTATCTCTGCCTCAGAAATAGGAAAATAATAGAGTAGGTGAGTCCCCAGATTTCTCTAAGCTTTTGCATTCACTGATCCCAACGGATGTTAATCACACCAAATGGCACATTACCACCCAGAAGTTGACACTGATTCAACATTATTGTTATTTAAACAGTGTACTAAGTAGGGAGGGGAAAGACACGGGAGGGATACAAGCCTTGCCTTGGCGCTGGGACATAACAAGCACCCTTCCTGCTTGGACTTCCTGGAACAACCAGAGCTGGCAAGTCAACAATCTCTCTGCTTTCAATATTTGCTCAGATCCATCAGAGCTCATGCTTTTACTCTGCTTCCATCCCTGGGGCTCACATTTCATGCCTCCTGCACCCAGGAAAGTGCCCTCCCTGCATACGCCTGGGCACACTTCCCTGACGGAGTCCAGCAAGGGGAAAACCCAGCAGCTTGAGAACCAGGTTCCAGCCAGACCCTCCGGGCTTCACCTGCAGGGAATCTGGTTCACATCCCAGAATTCTGGAGCCAAACTGGACCCTGACCAAGTCACCAGTAACTTGGAGGTAATGAGAGGGGGCAGAAGAAACAAAACCAAAATTGTGATTCTTTCTTTCTCTGCTTAGTCTAGCAGTTTATAAAACTGAACCCTGAGGATCACCAGTACCCCTGAGCTCCACCCTCGCTCATTCTTGCTCTGGTTTCGGCAAGCTTGGCATTCCCCAAAGGAAACGTAAAAGTATTTGTTTATTGACCATTTCAAGGGAACATAAGCCAAATAAGAAACTATTTCAGAAATGAACATTTTTCCTGTTTATGCTATTTTTTTTTCCAGCCTACATGATAACAGAGTCATCAAAAATCTGGCTTTAACACTAGTCAAAGACACAGCATTCCATTTACTGACAGCCAATGTCACAGGCAGATTTCTCCCAAGTGCCTTCAATGAAACCGAGAGCTGCAAACAACAATGGATATCATACAAAAGAAAACGAGTCCGTAGCTTTCAGAGAGCAATAACGGAGACACACCAGTTAGACTCGGGTCTAAAAGAATGGTTTATGAAGTGAGTTCACTTAGTAGTAAGCATAAGCCCTTAAAAACAATGTTTTCATAGCAGAGGGGGGCTCTCAGATTTACTTCATCTGACTGTCAGTCCAGGCTACATACGTAGATACCCTAAGAACATATTTTTCTCCTCTTAGAATGTTACTTTTCTTCGAGCCTTTATAGGCTTTAACAACGGCAGATGTGACAAACCTATGAGCCAAATTATGTATATATACGTCTTAGATTCTTATACGTCCAAGACATCTTAAAAATTAGCAATGATAGATTCTCGTTCAAATATTTTTTTTCTTTTCTTTTTTATAACCGTCTCCCCTTAAAATAAAGACCTTTCTCTTTCCCCATCGGTGGCATCCATGCAGTTACACAGCTGTTTACTTTCATTCCTCCTCATTGGAACATCAACCCCACCATCAACTGCCATCTAGTTTGACCGTGTGTCTGAAGCTGTAGAACAGAGCCTGACACCCAGCAGTCACTTAGTTTTTGGTTACATAACTTACTTTCTGGAAATTTTTTCATTGCTTAAAACAACACTCATTACCTCCAGTCTTTCTAGAAAAGACATACTGCTGGTTGCTTGTTCTTTGCCAATCACCAGGGGAGCTGAGAAATTGTTCTCATTAAACCCGAGTTTGGC